CTGCATCCAGAATATCTTGATTATTGAACTTCAAGTTTCTGCAATGAATTTTTTTTATTAACATATAGTATATTATTAGTTTCAGAGGTAGAGTTCAGTGATTCATCAGTCTTATATAATACCCAGTGCTCATTACATCACATGTCCTCCTTAATGTTCTTCACCCGGTTACCCTATTCCTCTACCCGCCTCCGCTCCAGCAACCGTTTGTTTCCTATGATTAAGAGTCTTTTATGGTCTATCTCCGTCTCTGATTTCGTCTTGTTTTATTTTTCCCTCCATTCCCCTATGCTCCTCTGTTTTATTTCTTAAATTCCACGTATGAGTGAGATCATACGATAATTGTCTTTCGCTGATTGACTTATTTCACTCAGCATAATACCCTCTAGTTCCATCCACGTCATTGCAAATGGCAAGATTTAATTTTTTTTGATGGCTAAGTAGTATTCCATTGTATATATGTACCACATCTTCTTTATCCATTCATCTGTCAGTGGACATATGGGCTCTTTCCATAGTTTGGCTATTGTGGACATTGCTGCTACAAACATGGGGTACAGGTGCCCCTTCAGATCACTACATTTGTACCTTTGGGGTAAATAGTGCAATTGCTGGGTCATAGCGTAGTTCTATTTTTTAATTTTTTGAGGAACTTCCATACTGTTTTCCAGAGTGGCTGCACCAGTTTGCATCCCCACCAACAATGCTAAAGTGTTCCCCTTTCTCCACATCCTTGCCAACATCTATTTTCTGTGTTGTTAACTTTAGCCATTCTGACCAGTGTGAGGTGGTATCTCACTGTGGTTTTGATTTGTATTTCCCTGATGCCGAGTGATGCTGAGCACTTTTTCATGTGTCTATTGTCCATTTGTATGTCTTCTTCGGAGAAACGTCTGTTCATGTCTTCTGCCCATTTCCTGATTGGATTATTTTTTAAAAATATATTTATTTGAGAGAGAGAGCGCCTGCGCATGAGCAGGGGGGAGGGGCAGAGGAAGAGGGAGAAGCAGACAGGGAGCCCGAGGTGGGGCTTGATCCCAGGACACTGAGATCAGGACCCTAGCCAAAGGCAGGCGTTTAACCGACTGAGCCACCCAGGCACCCATCCTGATTGGATTATTTGTTCTTTGGGTGTTGAGTTTGATAAGTTCTTTATAGATTTTGGATACTGGCCCTTTATCTGATAAGACATTTGCAAATATCTTCTCCCATTCTGTTGGTTGTATTTTGGTTTTGTCAACTGTTTCCTTTGCTGTGCAAAAGGTTTTATCCTCATGAAGTCCCAGTAGTTCATTTTTTTTTTCCCAATAGTTCATTTTTGCTTTTGTCTCCCTTGCCTTTGGAGACGTGTTTTGAAAGAAGTTGCTGTGGCCGATGTAGAAGAGGTTACTGCCTATGTTCTCCTCTAGGATTTTGATGGATATCCTGTCTCACATTTAGGTTTTTCATCCATCTTGAATTTATTTTTGTGTGTGGTGTAAGGAAATGGTGCAGTTTCATTCTTCTGCATGTGGCTGTCCAATTTTCCCAACACCATTTGTTGAAGAGACTGTCTTTTTTCCATTGCACATTCTTTCCTGCTTTGTCAAAGATGAGCTGACCATAGAGTTGAGGGTCCATATCTGGGCTCTCTGTTCTGTTCCATTGATCTATGTGTCCGTTTTTGTGCCAGTACCATACTGTCTTGGTGATCACAGCTTTGTAACAGAGCTTGAAGTCAGAATTGTGATGCCACTGGCCTTGGTTTTCTTTTTCAACATTCCCTTGGCTATTTGGGCTTTTCTGGCTCCGTACAAATTTTAGGATTATTTGTTCCAGCTCTATGAAAAAAGTTGATAGGGATTGCATTGAATGTATAGATTGCTCTAGGTAGAATAGACATTTTAACAGTATTTGTTCTTCCAGTCCATGAGCATGGAACGTTTTTCCATTTCTTTGTGTCTTCTTCAATTTCTTTCATAAGTTTTCTATAGTTTTTTGAGTACATAGCCTTTGCCTCTTTGGCGAGGTTTATTCCTAGGTATCTTATGGGTTTTGGCACAATTGTAAACGGGATCCTTAATTTCTCTTTCTTCTGTCTCGTTGTTAGTGTGTAGAAATGCAACTGATTACTGTGCATTGATTTTATATCCTGTGGCTTTGCTGAATTCCTGTATGAGTTCTAGCAATTTTGGGGTGGAGTCTTTTGGGTTTTCCACATAGAGTGTCATGTCATCTGCGAAGGGTGAGAGTTTGACTTCTTTGCTGATTCGGATGCCTTTTACAGAAATGCAGGCTTTTTTAAATAGGTGGGGTTTTTTTAATTCAAGTAAAGTTAACACACAGTGTTACATTAGTTTCAGGTGTACAATATAATGATTCAGCAATTTTATACACTTCTCAGTGCTCATTAGGATAAATGTCCTCTTAGTCCCCTTCACCTGTTTCACCATCTCCCCACCCCCCTGCCCTCTGGTAACCACCAGGGTCTTTTTTTTCTTTGTCTCTTTTTCCTTTGTTTGTTTAGTTTCTTAAATTCCGAATATGAGTGAAATCATACGGTGTTTGTCTTTCTCTAACCAACATATTTCACTTAGCATCATATCCTTTAGATCCATCCATGTTGTTGCAAATGGCAAGATTTCATTCTTTTTTATGGCTGAATAATATTCCATTGTGTGGATGTGTGTATATACATACACACACACACCCACACACATATCTTCTTTACGTCTTCTTTATCCATTCCACATCTTCTTTATCCATTCATCAATTGATGGACACTTGAGCTGCTTCCATTTCTTGGCAATTGTAAATAATGCTGCAGTAAACATAGAGGTGCATATATCTTTTTGAATTAGAGTTTTCATTTTCTTTGGATAAATACCCAGAAGTAGAATTACTAGATCATATGGTAATTCTATTTTTGATTTTTCGAGGAACCTCCATACAGTTGTCCACAGTAGCTGCAACAGTTTACATTGCCACCACCAGTGCACAAGGGTTCCTTTTCCTCCACATCCTTGTCAACACTTGTTGTTTCTTATATTTCTGTTTTTTGCCATTCTGTGAGGTGTGAGGTGATATCTCATTGTGGGTTTGATTTGCATTTCCCTGATCATGAGTGATGGTGAGCATCTTTTCATGTGTCTGTTGACCATCTGGAGGTCTTCCTTGGAGAAATGTCTATTCATGTCCTCTGCCCATTTTTAATTGTATTATTTGGGGTTTTCGGTGTTGAGTTACATAGGTTTTTTTTATATATTTTGGATATTAATCCCTTATTGTTTATATCATTTGCAAATATCTTCTCCCATTCTGTAGGTTGCCTTTTAGTTTTGTTGATGGTTTCCTTCACTGTGCAAAAGCTTTTTATTTGGTGTACTCCCATTAGTTTGTTTTTGCTTTTGTTTCCCTTGCCTGAGGAGACATATCTAGAAAAGTGTTTCTACAAGAAATATAGGAGTTTTTGAATTGTGAGTGGATGATTATTCTCATCAGTATAAAATTCCTAACTACTTTTCTGTGAGGTAACTAAAACATAGTAAAATGCTTACTTAAAAGTTACATCCTAATTTATTTACTAGAATGAAATACTTAAAATATTATTTCCTAGTCATCAAACAATAAGTATAATTGTCAACCAATAGTTGCTATATTTGCCCAGTTTAAGATACACATCTCCTTTTTTGACATAAGTGCTTTTAAAAACATCTACATATGATTCCAGCATCTTGCCTAGTTGTATTTGGGATCTAACTGAATGCTCTACCTTCACATCATTTTTTTTAATACTGTGTTGAGACTTTGGATTGTAAGTATAAATTAAATCTTTAAAAACATCTGCCAGAAAACATATTGAGAGATACTTACATTCTATTAAATTTAAGTGTTAGAACTCTACCTGGAAATCTACCTGGAAGACATGAACAGGGGAGACATTCTGCGTATTATGCCTATACTTCCACCACCACTATAGATCTGAGGTTCTGTCCTCTTCTGACCATAAAGGTGCTTGTCCTCCCTCAACCTAGGTCATAGGATAGAAGGTACTGGTAAGAGTTTTGGGCTGCAGTGAAAATAGTTAATTCTCACTGTCATGAATACTCAAATTAATCAAATCTTTGTAGTAAGCTTTTTTTAAAAAATAGCTTTATTGAGGCATAATTTATCTACAATAAAATTCACCCATAGAAGTACACAATTCAATCGTTTTAAGCATATGTAATAAAAATTTTAAGACAAATTATTTCAATAGGAAATAAATAACTTTATTCTTAAATCATATTTAGTGAGCTTTTATTATGTGTGAAGCACTGTTTGCTATGTGCAAGCACCTTTTTTTGGTCGGGTCATGTAATCTTCACTAACAATCTCATGAGATAAGTACCATTCTTCCCATTTTACAGATTAAGTAACCGAAGCACAGAGAGGTTAAGTACCCTTCCCAGAATCACACTGCTAGTAAGTGGCAGAGCTGAGATTTAAACTCAAGACATTCTGGCTCCTGGGGCCTCTCTTCAACTGCTAGGTTACATTGCCTGCAAGAGGCAGTATAGTGATGCATTGTGATGCTAGTTCCTAAGGGAGATTTTTTATGAAGTGTTTCACCTTAGGCAGAGATTTTGGTCAGATTTTCATCCTGAAATAAATTACTTAAGAACACATTTATTCTTAAATTTAAAAAATTTTGTACCCTAATATCATGTTATATTTAAGCCAAAATCTTATACTATGTTTCTTTAAAATGTTTTGTATCTTTATCATGCTTTCATTCTTAACATGTTCTTTAAAAAGTTATTTTTTTTCTTTTATTGTTACTCCATTTCAAGTCTTAGTGATATAATTGAAACTAAGACTCATGGTTTTGTTGTATTTCGGATTTTTATTCGCTGCCTTCTGCCTTAACGCCTGAAATGTGCCATTATAGGTCTTCTTGAATCCTCCTCCCTTTTTTGTCCTCCCTGTATATTCCTAACAGCTGAATTATTTTCTTTTTGTTGTTTGTTTTCTTTTTTCAGCAGTGCGGCCACTTAGCATGTCTTACAGTTTTGACTTGTCAGGTAAAAAAAAAAAAAAAAGCGCTTTCACACCTGACATGGGTTTTGTGGTTTCTGTGAAAACATTTCATTCATCTGCTTGTCCAAACATGTCAAAGAAGAAATTGAAAGGCTTCTTCTAAGCTGTGGTCAGTAAGATAAAACATTCTGCTTATTTGAAAACCATATACTTAAAAAAAATTATAATAAATCTGTTGCCTACGAGGGATTATAGAAGAACCATCATGCCATCCCTGTGGTTATGGAATTTGACTGCCCATCCTTACGGTCACTGTCTCTCACCCACACTCTTCTTCTTCCTCTTCTTTTTTTTTTTTAAGACTTTATTTATTTGAGAGAGAGAGAGAGAAATCATAAGCAGGGGGAGGGGCAGAGGGAGAAGCAAGCTCCCCACTGAGCGGGGAGCCTAAGGCAGGGGCTCCATCCCAGGACCCCGGGATCATAACCTGAGCTGAAGGCAGAGGCTTAACCTACTGGGCCACCCAGGAACCCCTCACCCACACTCTTCTAAAGCAATGATGTCAAAATCTAAAACAGAACTTTGCCTTAAGAGAATAGAAAAAAATTTCAAGAAACAAAGTTTTGATACTTCTTATTCTCTAAGCATTTAGTTATTTAATTAGACTCAAAGCTGTCAACTACTTCAGAGGACCACCGCTCCTCAGCAGAGCTGTCTTTGGTGTTCCAGTGCTCCCTCTGGATGCAGCCTGGTCATGAATGATTCTGAGTGCTATTTGGGAGTATAAAAATACAGATATGTTCTAATGGCTTTGGTTGTAAAGTACAGTTGACCCTGAACAACCTGGGTTTGAACTGCTCAGGTCCACTTATAGGAATATTTTTTTAATTTAAGAGTTCACAGCAAAAGCTACACATTTATTTACAACTGTCCACCCCAGTCTTCATTGGACCAAAAGGAAGGCAACTAACCTGCTGCCCTCCGAGGACCCATGAAGGCCCAAGGAAGCCTGCTGAGGTTTTAGCAGCCCCCAGGGAACCAAGACTGAACAGGGCTGCAGGTTGCCTCCTATTGCTGACAGGATGGTCAGGGTCTACCCCCAGGGTTCGTGGACAGGATGCTGAGCTGAAGCAAGGAATGTGCCCAGAGAACAGGATGGTGCTGCACAGGGATCCCACACACCCATCACTCCTGCGCCCTAGTCCTCTGTGCACGGGGCTCAGGGGCTGTGCAGGCTGCTGCAGGCCTGGGACCACCCCCTACCAAGCATGGACTCCTCACCTCCCACTCATGTGTGGCCATACTTACAGGCAGTTGGGGCAGCTGTACAGTATCCCCAGGCCATTGTGGCTGCCTGCCCGCTGGGCAGCTGCCTCTGCCAAGGCCCCAGGCTGCACAATATCACCATCATGCTACCAGGCTCACTGCTGCCTCCAGCTTGGCCTGACCTGCCTATACACAGATTTTTTTTTTTTTTCAGTAAATCTGCATATAGGACTGTGAATGCATTTTCTCTTCATTATGATTTTCTTAATATTTTCTTTTCTTTAAAATTTTTTTTCTTTTCTCTAGCTTTATTGTTAGAATAGTGTGTATATATATATACATATGCATACACACATAAATATTTATGATACATATAACATACAAAATATGTGTCAATTGACCGTTTATATTATCAGTAAAGTTTCCAGTCAACAGTAGGCTGAATTAACAGTTAAGTGTTTGCAGATTTTTGACTGGGGTGGAAGTCTGTACCCTAACCCCTGCCTGGCCTTGTTCAAGGATCAACTGTATAATTAATGTGTTCTGGGTTTGTAGTACAAGTTTAGGTCCCTGCTGTTAAATAGACAAGGATTAGTAGTGAAACAGATAACCATCAATGACTAAATTTGATCTCTAATATCAGCCCCTTTTTAAATTGAGTTTTTATATATGAGTGAACTTTCAAAGCCAACTTAATCCAAATAAAATATTTTGCAAGTTAGAATTTTTCATTTTGGAAGCTGTTTTTTTTGTTTGTTTTTTAAAGATTTTACTTATTTATTTGAGAGAGAGAGAGCACAGGCAAGAGCAGGGGGAGGGGCAGAGGGAGAGGAAGAAGCAGGCTCCCCCAGCTGAGCAGGGAGCCGGATGTGGGCTCTATATGGGGCTCAATCCCAGGACCTTGGGATCATGACCTGAGCCAAAGGCAGTCGCTTACTGACTGAGTCACCCACGCGCCCCTGGAAGCTATTGTTTTGAATGTAAAATGAGATAAGATGTTGGCACTAATATTTTCTTCCATATGCTCTGGAATTGTTGGCATAGCTTATTTATATACAAATTCATAAAGAGCCAAAGAGTTCTTGTATCCTATTCTGCTTATGAATATTTACTGAGCACCTTCCAATTGCTAAACTAGTTCCCAACTGTTTTTAAATTTCTGTTTATATTTGTGGGTCTCAGACATCATTGTCATTTGTGCTTTTAAAAAACTCAGATAAATATTTTACAATCTTCACTTACCACTTTTGACTGACCACTGAAGAGCTTTTTCTATTTTCTTTAATCATTTGAAAATTTTTATTTTATCAACCATTTGCAGAGTAAATGTTGTAAAAGAGAAGAAGAAAAACCTTATAAAAATGGTCTGGAAAATAAACTCAGAAGTGTTTTGATACATATTTGTTACTGATATTCTCCAAAAGTTGGCAGTATATATTACAGAGACTGTGTCTCTTTTTCTGGAGATGTTTCCATCAGTTGGACTATAAGGGAGTGGCTGGCTATCTAAACACATTGACTATTGGCTAACATAAATTAAGCACAGGTGGCTGATCTGGACAGTTTGCATGCCCACACACATGTTATATATAAGTGTATTTCGTGTTCTTATAGATTATATGGTGGCTTCCAATTCGGGGCGAAATCTCTTCACCTCCATGATGTAAAAGAGTAGCAAAAAATTGTATTTGCTTTCAACTTGCTTATCATTTGCTACTTTAAGTGCACTTCATGATTTCCACATGCTTCATTCTCAATTTCTTGTGCTAGCTACTTTTATGTTTTCATTGTTCCATTTTGACTAATTAATTAAAATGTCCCAAATAATAAATGGAAAAAATTGATCCATTCTTTTAACCTAAATGCAAAGATTGGAATACAGTTCTTCTCTAAGTTGGGAAATTAACCCACTAAGGAGTGAATATTTAAATATGTAGTATAGATAATGCCTCTAGACTTAAATATAGAATAAGACATAATGAAGTGTATTCTGCTGCTTAGGTATGTCTTAGAAATATTAATGCTTAGTGGAAAATCTTAATAATCCATTCAACATTAATTAAGGTAAGTGTAATTTATTTTTGCAATGCAAATAATAAATATGTAATCAGTATCACAGTCATATTTCCTCCAACCAAATAAGCCAGCAGTTGGGTGAATCTAACATATATAAAGTTATTACATAAAGTATTTAATATCATGGTTATGCATTTTAGATTCTGAACCTGAGGTATGTGACTTCCAAAGCCATATCTAGCATCTTAAGTGTTTTTGCTTATTTGTAAATATCACCAGTTTTTTTCTCAAGAAATTCTGTCTTATATAGAAGTACAAAGTCTTATTCAATTCCTTGGTTTTCTCACTTGATACATTGACGTAATAATAAGGATTTCTTCATTGGAACAGAAAGTTATTAGTAATCAAACTACTTAAAAATTTCTCTTAAAAATATGTTCCACTGGGTCTTTTACAAATATATAGTATGAGATAAAATCACACACAGTATTTAGTCTTATATGTGGAGAAGCCTGTTATGTAATTTTTTTTATTAATTCCATTTATCTCAAAGCTTTGAATTCAGTATGAGGTTATTATTTCAGTCAGTGAACTCAGTTTCAGTCAATGAGCTCAAATTACAGTTATCAACCTCATAGTAGTGTTCAGACAAGAAGAGAGCTATTAGGTCATTTCTCAGATCTCCTGCATTGAGAATGAAATGAACTCATGGCATCCACAGTCACTCAACAGTTTTCCCCTAAACTTCAGGTCAGATTTTTGCCAGACTTTAAGTACCACCAGTATTTTTTAAATTATTTTAATATACCATCAATGACTTTTAAAATTTGTTTAGGAAAAACATCCATAAAGCCATGTATCTGATATATGTTTTCTGAAGCATCAAAATAAATATATAACCATTAAAATTTTCAATGTTCCTGCATGCACTAGTAGTGGTCTCACCCTAGGGAAGCTTTGACTTGGAGGAATGGAGATGTGAGACCCACCGCGGAAAGCTGACAGCTTCTCTTCTCACAATACCTGCCGTGTGGGCACCTCGATTGGGATCTGGGCAGCTAAGAGGAGACAAGGATGTGTGTGTTTTAACTTCTTGCTTTCTCTTAAAAGCCTAGCTACTACAACAACATGAGCAATTCTGTAGGAAGTGTATAAAATAAGTTAAGCTATAGAATAAGATCTTTTAAGATATGCTTCAAGACTGTATTTGAACACTCCTTTTTTTCTTGAATAGGAATTAATCAGTTAGCCTAATCATTTCCTCCTTTGCTTTCTGGAAAACTTCTCAATTATTCCGTTAAGTGTCTCCACATCCCCTTAGGAAAGATTTATTTAAAGATTTTAACCTTTAATTTTGTGTAAAAACTTGCTGCTTTTGCCCTTTAGTCCCCCTCAGCGCAGCCCCTCCCCCAGTTATGTTTTTGTTATAGCTACTTAACATCTGGAAAGGTAATAAGAAAATTAACGCATGTCTTGTCAAGTTTTCTATTAAAAATTTTATGTTAGGGGCGCCTGGGTCGCTCAGTCGTCAAGCGTCTGCCTTCGGCTCAGGTCATGATCCCAGGGTCCTGGGATCGAGCCCCGCATCGGGCTCCCTGCTCAGCGGGAAGCCTGCTTCTCCCTCTCGCACTCCCCCGTTTGTGTTCCCTCTCGCTGTCTCTCTCTCTGTCAAATAAATAAATAAAATCTTTAAAAAAAATAAAAATTTTATGTTAAATAAATGATAGATCTGTCTTGTCTTCCTTTCCTCTCTCCTTCCTTGCTTACTCAAACCCTTTCTTCTCATTCACAGGGACATGTGCTCTGACCTTCTTGATCTCTAAAATTAGCAAAAATTGTAAATATTAAACTAGATACCTATCATTTATAATTAAATTTACATGATTCTTTTAATAATGTCAAGGAAGGCTATACTAGAACACGCTTATTCCCTGAGTGTTTCCTGGAAATCCACCCCTTACACTTCAAGCATATAAAAATTGTATATTGCAAGGGAAACTGCTATATTTTTACAGTAACTGCAGTTACAGGGCTTTCCCTCCTAAAGGAGCTTTAATCATGTCTTATTTCACTTTCATGCTTAGTGTACCCTTTACCTTCAACCACAGGAGTTTCACAGATTATTCCATGTGCAAAGATCAGTTTCATGTTGTTTGTAAATTAAATTATGCAGTGACTGCTTTTGTTTTCACTTTTATTTTTTTCACTTTTAAATGCTCTAATTTAGTAGTTATTAAACTTTGTGTTTAACACATCATTTGAAATACTGAAAAAAATTGGTTCCACTTGCATTGGAAGAGTGAGTACAGGGTCCGGGGCAAAAAGGTGGCCTTTAGAATCAGTACTAACAAGGAATCAAGTACCAGCTGTACCACACACTAGCTGTGTACCTGCCTGAGTCACCTGAGCCTTAATTTACTGACACATGGAGATAAAAATCAGTGTTAATAATCGCCAGCATTTATTGTGTGTTGTCGTATTGAGGAAGTATTTTATATGCAGTTGGTAACTTACTCTTCAAAAGGAGCGCATGTCTGTTGTAAGCCCATTTCAAAGATCATGAAACAAGAGGTCAGGTGTACTGCACACCCTATTCTCTGTGCTCTGTACTCTATATGTAGTCTGTACACTGCTCTGTGTGCTCTGTGCCCTGTACTCTGGATACTGTATACTCCGTGCTCTGTCCACTGTACATACTCCATGCTGTGCATACCCTGTACTCCACAGCGTATACTCTGTGTGTTCTCTGATCCGCACTCTGTGCTCTGTGCTCTAGTCTGCGCTCTGTACCCTGTACAGCATACACTCTGTGCTCTGTGGACTCTGGACTACTATATATTCTGTACTCTCCTCTGTACTACATACTCCACACTATATACTGTGGCCTTTAATGTTTTATTGGCACATGCGGCATCCACACTTGTTACTTCTATAGATGATTTTTGGCTTGGACGTAAAAGCCGTGCCATATTTATTTATATTATGTTTTTAATTCAGAGAACATGTATACTTTTGCCCTATACAAGAAACTATAACTTGTACTGATTGCATTTGCCTGCCATGGTTTGGATAGATTTTTTGCATGGTTTTCATTCTTTTCTAATGGATGCTGTCCTGTGATGCTTCTAAGCCTGTTCATGGGTATATATTGAATGTCTTCTTTGCCTGTATACTTCCATCCTTAGGTATTTCTAATGTATTTTTCCGTGTATACTTCCATACATAGCTATGCACTATGGAAAACTGAATGAATAATATGCATATTGAAAATAAAGTCTTTCATTTTACAAAAATATACTCTGTACGATGTACTGTATCTGAATCCTTCACACCCTGTGGTCTGTGCTGTGTACTCTGCAGACCTTGTGCTCTGCGCTCTGTGCTCACACATACGTACTCCGTGCTCTGTATACACTGTACTCTGCTGCTGTATTTCTCTGATCTGTTGTATTACCTTCCCACCCAGATTTGAGCTCTGAATAATCTACATCAGCTTTATCGGAAGGAATGTATCCCAGATTCTTTGTGTTCATGTTTATATGAATATAGATTGTTCACTATTTTGATTTTCAAATTAAACCATTTTCAAATCTTAAAGCCATCTGCCTGCTATGGCTCTGTGTATGCCACCACTTTGATCCATCTATCACTAGCTCTTTGGAGATGATAAAGTAAAACTAGCTTCTCTGGGTCTCTCTCTGCAAGATTAAGAAGTTATAGTCAGTTATCTGTAGGATTCCTTCCAGCTCTAAGTTCTAATGTATAAATGTGCATCTGTTACTATTTATTTAAAGGTTTCCTTTAATCTGACAGTTAATATCTATCAAAAATGTTTTATATACATAGGCGTTACTATATCAGGCCCCTGTGTTGTATTTGTGTGACATGGAAGTGCCATGTCAGCTGGCTTGTGGTTTGTGCTACCAAGTGGAGGTACTTGGGAAAGTGCATTTGGTCTACTGATTACTTTTCTTAGCTTGAGAAAAGGTAAACTTTTGCCTTTCTTTTACCAGATGTAACTACCCCTGAATCTCCAAAGAACATTGTGGAATCATCGATGGTGAATGGAGGTTTAACATCACAAACGAAAGAAAATGGATTGAGTGCTGCACAGCAGGTGCCTGTGCAACGGAAGAAGCTCCTCAAAGCTCCAACTCTGGCTGAACTGGACAGCTCTGACTCCGAGGTGAGTCCCACGACAGCCCGTTTCACACATCTTGACTCCATGTTCAGAATGCAAGCCCTCTCTGACCTAGTTTACTAACCATGTTGCCTCAATTGTTTAATCTCTTCCCATCTTTCGATTAATAAAGTTGGGATTGAAATTAATTTGTTTAGCAGGAAATGAAACAGTGGATTACTTACTGTTTTTCGGGAAAGACCAGTACAGTGGCCATAGTTTATAGGATAAGTTTTGAAATATTTGTATGGTCTTAGATTATAGTGGTATTAAAATAAGTAAAAAAAAAAAAAAATGCAAACGTATTATCTTCAGGATGCTTCCCTTTGTTTTGGGGAAGGAAAAAGAAAAAATATTTTTCCCTGGATTCTTCTCTCTCTCTCACACATACACACACCCCTACCCATAGTGAAGTTTGTTCTTTCTGTAATAGTAATACCAATAGACAGGTCTGCAAAAGAAAACTCTGCTAGGGTTCTCCAGATTTCATCTTTCCCCTGCTGCCCTTTGGAGGAAGACCTCACGTCCTCCCTGTTTTTCAGAAACAATCAGGGCGCTGGTGTTTCCCAAATCTCTCTCAAGCCCTTTGTCTACAGCATCAGTATTGTGTATCTCCACTGTGTAAAATGAAATTACATCCTTGCCTCCCTCTTCCCTCAGGCCCTGCCAGACAGACAATACGCACACACAGCCAGCCTCCCGGCTTCTGTTTGCTGTCGTGGTTGCTGGCTCCATCCGCTCCACATTCATCCAAGTTAGAATTAAGGAATTATTCTTTAATCACCCAGACCGGTTTCTGAGACGATTCTGGCAGCCTTCAGTACCACCCTTGGAGCAAAGCAGCAGTGAAGGAGCAGCAGGAATTCTGGAAGTGACCTTGTTCCAACCAGGACCTGGTTAAGAGTCACTGGTCAGGATGTAGAACTAGAAAAGGCCTAGTTTAGTGAGTGTCAGAGACTGGTAACTGGATCAGACAATACAAACAAGCAGGTTTCTGGCAATAGCTTCAGAGATCACAGACCATCATGATCCCCCAGCCAGGCAGAAAGTGTTTAGTCGAGGGAATAGACATGACAGGGCAAGCCAAGTAGGAGTCTACACCTACATCCTCTCTGTGAGATCTGACCTCCAAGTCTCCTGGCACCTTCTGAGTGTCTTTGTGATTCCTCTGGGCCAGGAACTAAGCCTAATGAAGATTAGATTTCAAGCAGTGAGAAATTGGGTGCATCTGCCTGTGGTGGGCATGCATGGGCAGAGGATCACCAACAGCTTCTGGGAGCAAATCGCAAAAGGCCTTGCCACCATGCCAGTGCCCTCACCACTTCTCTGTCTCTTACTGACTGACTTGCACTCACCCAGCTGCCCCAGGATGGACTCTTAGTTGTTCACGGTGGGAGCAAGTCAGAACAGCAAAGAGGAGTGGTGTGGAACATGTGGACATGCTCAGAATTGGACTTTAAAGATGATTCTGGGGCGGGCGCCTGGGTGGCTCAGTTGGTTAAGCGACTGCCTTCGGCTCAGGTCATGATCCTGGAGTCCTGGGATCGAGTCCCACATCGGGCTTCCTGCTCAGCAGGGAGTCTGCTTCTCCCTCTGACCCTGTTCCCTCTCGTGCTTTCTATCTCTCATTCTCTCTCTCTCTGAAATAAATAAAATCTTTAAAAAAAAAAAAAATGTTTCTGGGGAAGATGGGCTGAGGTATGTGAGGGGGGTGGGGGTGGGGGTGGTTTCTGCTGTTTAAATCAAGGTGGCACCCACCTCATAATTATTTGGGACTACTGTGTATGTCTCCTTTTTCTTTTCCTAAGAGATACTCTTGGCTTTTATTTCCTTTTGACCTTTCATAGACAGAAGGAGGTCATTCTAGTTGCTTGCTAGCTTTTTTGGAGATTTGTGTGCCCTCTACACCGTGTTCAGGTTGAGGCTTTGGTTACATTGCTTGATTTATTCTTCATGGTATGTACCAAGACTGGGGAGGTCACTGTTCAGACCTTCTTTGTTTGAACTGTGTGGTTTACAAAGGCTTTTTTCATCCCCTGTTCTTTGACCAGATCCTTTGTATTGTAGCTTATGTGAAACCAGTGCTTTCAGCAGTAGGTTTTAGGTGAGGCCATTTATTGTGAATGGCTAAATTAGTTCTTAAAGTCACCTTAACTCAGTAGGTCAGGGAGATAATGCATTCAAAATGCTTAACACATGTCTCATATAGTCATAGGTGAATATTTTAACCTAATTTTCTTTCTTCCACATTTAAAATATTTAGCAATTTTCTATAGATATTATGGAAATACATTGTCTTGTGGTTCATGTATATCCTCAATCACATAGTAGATAATAAATTTTTTGTGAATAAATATTGTACTTCTTCCTGGTATAATCTGAAACAAATTAAGAAGGTCTCGTCTCATTGGTAATAGGAATTTAAATTTTATTTTGCATAATGTAGACATTTTTCTAGATTCATATGACATTTGGTGAAATGTTTATTTTCATCCATTTATTCAACAAATATTAATATTTATTCATCACTTACTAACAGTGGGTTTGTTACTAACAACAATGAATGAGACACATCTACCTTCATGCAGTTACAATCTATTACTTTTACAAATGTGTTAAATATTTTCCTAATAATGATATTAACCACCATTCACTGTATGCCTGGTAATGTGTTAAGCATTTTGAGTGCATTATCTCATCTGATCCAATAATACAGTGTAAAGATGGTATTAAATATGAAATGATGGTACTGAGGTGAGAAACTTGCTGTGTCACATCACTCTAATGAGGGACAAAGCCAGGACACAAACCCAGGCTTGTCTAATTTTAGGTACCTTCTAGCTTATCTTCTATTTGCCTTGAACCTTTGATATAATGTGGTGCCTCACATTAAAATAAATATCTAATAGTAAAATGTTATTACCATGAGAGCACTAATGTCTTAGTGCTTATTTCTCTGCCCACACCTTTCTCAGGAGGAAACTCTACACAAGTCAACCAGCAGCAGCAGTGTGTCTCCCTCCTTCCTTGAAGATCCCATAGTAGAGGCTGTGTCCACAAGGAAGAGTGAGTATTTGTGGTACAAAGAGCTAGCATTGGATTCCTTCAGAAACACACTGGACCTAGAATAGAGAATCCCAAAGTGCTTTGTGATCATTTAGGGTGGAAAGAGCTAACCCTGGAATTTTCCCTAGTCAGGAGCATAAATATGGTTATATTCCTAAAGTCACATGGTAAGGTAGGGCTGAACTGATAGCTGGGCCTCAGGTTCTTAACTTCTAACAGATCAGTCACCTTTGGGTTTACAGATAATAGTTGTAGGGAATAAGTAACTGTTTCTGTGTATTTTTTAGATTAATTTACCTCCTTGTCTGAATTTAAGCTGGGAGCCCTAAATAATCACACTTGTTATCATTCCCACCCCCACACGTATACACATATCCATACCCACATACGTGTATGGATAGTAAAAACGCCTTATATAACTCTTCATAGGTTCTGAACACAGAATCTAAAGTTAAGTGATTTTTAAATGCTTTTTAAAAATTTATTTATTTATTTATTTATTTGAGAGAGTGCAAGTGGGGGGAGGGGCAGAGGGAAGGAATCTCAAGCAGACTCCACACCAAGCGTGGAGCCTGATGTGAGACTTGATCCCACAACCCTGAGATCACAACCTGAGCTGAAATCAAGAGTTGGATACCCAACCAAATGAGCCACCTAGGCACCACATTTCTAAATGTTTTTAATAATCTTTTTTGTGTATAAGATCATTATAAAAGATTTAAAAATTACGCATTAAGGGAGAGGATTCTGGGAAGATGGTGGAGTTGGAAGCACCAAGAATCTGTCTCCCACCTAGACAACAGTTGTACTGGCCGAATCTGTCTATGTAAGTCCTTTGGAACTCTGAGTCTGTTGAAGGCTTGCAACTTCCAGGGGAAGATTAGATGAAACATTGTGGTTAATTTCAGCTCTTAGCACAAAAGCAGCTACTTGTGGCCCACTCCAGCCACAGTGTACTGTTCCTGAAGCAGCTGGCCCATAGCTTACAGGAGCTAGGGGGGCAAAAAGAACCCTGGCCTCCAAATATTGGGAATCTGTCCTCGATTGCTGCATCTGATTCCAAAGGTGTAGACAAAGAGTCAGTGATTATTGTTGCTTTGTTGCAAGCTCCCTGCATGCTAAAGTGACTTCCAGGGGATCTAAAGGGCTAGCCTCCTTACCCGCCTCCTTCATTCTTAGCTTTTTCCCTTCTGGGAGCCAGACATTAAAGACTAGGATATCCAGAAACTACGTATATGTAGAAAATTATAAAGTGACAATGCATGCCCAGGGAATGGCTCATAAAAGACCTGAGAAGATCTTAAGTTTACTTCTCAGGCTGATCCTCAGCACAGAGACAGCCTACAGCAATCAAGAAAACAATAAACAAAAACCAAACAAAAAACAGCAGACCCTGGAAAAGGGGCAGAGTCTGAATTACCACCTTATTAGATTCAAATGTCCAATATTCAACAACAACAACAACAACAAAACAACAACAAAAAATCACAAAGAAACAAAGAAACAGGAAGGTATGGCCCATTCAGAGTAAAGAAATAAATCAACAGAAACTGTCCCAGAAAAAGAGGGCGATATGCCAAACAAAGACTTTTTAAAAACTGCTTTAAAATGCTCAAAGAACTAAAAGAAGATGTGGAGAAAGTCAAGAACCCAATGTGTGAACAAAATGGAAAGATCAATAAAGAGCTAGAAAACCTAAAATGAAACAGCAAACAAAAAATTCTGGAGCTGAAAATTCCAATAACTTAAATGAAAAATTCACTAGAAGATTCAAAGGCAGATTTGAACAGGCAGAAGAAAGAATCTGCACACTTGGAGATAGGACAATGGAAAGCATCAAGTCTGAAGAACAGAAAGAAAAAAGACAGACTGAGAGACCTGTAGGACACCATCAGGTGTACCAACATATGCATTGTGGGAGTCCCTGAAGGAGAGGAGAGAGAGAAAGGGGCAAAAAGAATAATTGCAGAAATAATAGCCAAGACTCCCCAAATTTGAGGAGTGACATGAATGTTAACATTCAAGCCGCTCAACTAAAATGAAAGGGACCCACACCAAGACATATTGTAATCAAACTTTGAAAAGTAAAAGAGCAACAAAAGAGAAATGGGTCACTACATACAAGAGATCCTCAATAAGATTTTCAGTATATTTTTCATCAGAAATTTGGTGGCCAGAAGAGAGTGGGCCAATACAGCTTTCCACCCCACTATCTGCAAGTTTTCTTTACACCACTTCACTTTTTATGAAAGACCAGCATTAATATCTGTTTTAGCTAACTGAAAGAAATCCAAAGAGGATTTTCACTTTTGGTTTATGCCATTTCAGCTTACAAAAGGTTTCACAGGAATGCTATACTTTCAGATAGTGGGAGAAATCTGTATATTCAAAGTCTTTAAAAAAAAAAAAAGTCAACCAACAATCTTATATCCAGCAAAACTATTTTTGTTCAAAGTGAGGGAGAAATTAAGACATTCCCAGATAAACAAAAGCTGAGGGAGTTCATAACCACTAGACCTTCCCAGTAAAAAATGCTCAGAAGTCCTACAGGGGGAAATGAAAGGACACTAGACAATAATTCAAAGCCATAGAAGAAATAAAAATCTCAGTAGAATACATGGGCAATTATAAAAGCTAATAATATTGCAGCAATGGTTTGTAACTACTTTTTGTTTGCTACATAATTTGAGAGACTAATGCATTTAAAAGAATTATTAGTCTATATTTTGGGGAAGACAGTGTATAAAAATGTAATTTTGTGACACCAACAGCCAAAAGGGATGGAGACAGAGCTCTAGAAGAGCAGAGTTTTTGTGTGTTACTGAATTTAAGCTGCTATAAATCCAAATCAGTGTTATAATTTTAGGATGTTAAATGTAGTCTCCATGGTAACCAACAAGAAAATAGCTACAGAATATACACAAAAGGAAAATGGGAAAGGAATTTAAACATTTCATTATAAAAAAAGTCAATTTAACATGAAAGACAAGAAAGAAGGAAAAGAGAGACAAAAGCTCTAAGGCATATTGAAAACAAATAGCACAGTGACAGAAGTCCCTCTTGATCAGTAATTACTTTAAATGTAAATGAATTAAACTCTCTAATCAAAAGCTGGAGATTGGCAGATTGGATAAAAACACATGATCCAACTATATGCTGGCTAGAAGAGACTCCCTTGAGACTCAAAAACACAAACAGATTGAAAGTGAAAGGATGGAAAAGATATTCCATGCAAATAGTAACCAAAAGAAAGCTGGGGAAACTATACTGACATCAGACAAAATAGACTTTAAATAAAAAAAAGTTACAAGAGACAGAGGACACTATATTAATAAAAGGTTCAATGCAGTAAGAAGACAGACAGTTATTAACATTTATGCACCTATTGACAGACCATCAAAAGCAAAAACTGATACAAATGAAGGAGAAATAGACAGTTCTACAATAATAGTTAGAGACTTCAGTACCCCTCTCACAATAATGGATAGAACAACCAGACAGAGGATAAGGAAGAAATAGAGGACCTGGACAACACGATAAACCAACTAGATCTGACAGACACATACGGAACACTCCCCCTAACAACAGAATATACATTCTTCTGCAGGGCACATGGGACATTTTCAAGGATAGACCATATGTTAAACTATAAGTTAAGTCTCAATAGATTTTAAAGGATAGGTATCATACAAAGTATCCTCTCTGGCCACAATGGGATGAAGTTAGAAATTAGTAACAAAAGGAAAACTGAAAAATTCACAAAACTGTGGAAATGAAATAGCACACTTTTTAAAAATCAATGGATCAAAGAAGAAATCACCAGAGAGATTAGAAAATATTTAGAAATGAATGAAAGTGAAAACACAATATACCAAAACTATGGGACACAGTGGAAACAGTGCTAAGGTGAAATTTATTGCTATGACACTTAAATTAAAAACAAAGTTCAGTGATTAGTCATGCAATAAATGTTCCTGTTTTAAGAAAGGAAGGAATGAATGAACGAACCAACCAACAACCTAACTTTACAACTTAAGGAACTAGAAAAAGAAGAACAAACTAAACACAAAGCTAGCAGAAGAAAGGAAATAATAAAGATTAAAGCAGAGATAAAATATAGAGAATAGAGAAATAATGGAGAAAAATCAATGAAACCGAAAACTGGTTCTTCAAAAATATCAACATAATTGACAAACCCTTAGCTAGATAGACTAAGAAAAAAGAAGACTCAAATTACTAAAATCAGAAATGAAGGGGCGATCATTACTGCTGATTCTACAGAAATAAAGAGTTATGAGAGAATATCATGAACAATTACCATCAAATTGGATAGCCTTAATAAAATGGACAAATTCCTGGAAATGCCAAGCCTAGCAAGACTAAATCAGAAAGATAGAAAAAAATCTGACTAGACCAATAACTAGTAAAGATACTGAATTAGTAAGCATAAACTCTCCCTACAAAGAAAAGGCCTGACTCTGATGCCTCACTGGTGAATTCTTCCAAACATTTAAAAAAAAAATACCAATCCTTCTCAAACATTTCCAAAAAATTAAAGAGGAGGGAATACTTCCTAACCCATTTTATGAGACCAGCATTACCCTGATAACTAAAGCCAAAGACACTACAAGGACAGAAAACTATAAACCAATACCCTTTACAAATACTGATTTTTAATTTTTTTATTTTATTTTTTTTTAAGATTTTTTTTATTTATTTGACAGAGAGAGACACAGTGAGAGAGGGAACACAAGCAGGGCGAGTGGGAGAGGGAGAAGCAGGGAGCCCAATGCAGGGCTTGATCCCAGGACCCTGGGATCATGACCTGAGCCGAAGGCAGACGCTTAACTGACTGAGCCACCCAGGCGCCCCAAATACTGATTTTTTAAAAGATCTTTAACAAAATACTAGCAAACAGAATTCAGCAGTATATTAAAAGGATTATATACCCTGACCAAGTGGGATTTATTCCTGACTGCAAGGATGGTCCAACATATAAAAATTGATTAGTGTAATATGCCACATTAACAGAGTGAAGAAAAACCACCACAGGATTATTTCAATTGATGCTGAAAAAGCATTTGACAAAATTGAACACCCTTTCATGATAAAAACTTCAAACTAGGAGGAACTTCACAATAGAAGGAAACTACCTCAACATAATAAAAGCCGTGTATGAAAAACCCACCTCAGAGGTGCCTGGGTAGCTCAGTCGTTAAGCGTCTGCCTTCAGCTCAGGTCATGATCCCAGGGTCCTGGGATCGAGCCCCGCATCGGGCTCCCTGCTCCACGGAGGCCTGCTTCTCCCTCTCCCACTCCCCCTGCTTGTGTTCCCTCTCTCGCTGTGTCTCTTTCTGTCAAATAAATAAAATCTTTAAAGATAAAGGAAAAAGAAAAACCCACCTCAAACATACTCAGTGGTGAAAGACTGAAAGGATTTCCTCTAAGAAACAGAACAAGGCAAGATGCCTGTTTTCATCATTTCTGTTCAAATGCACTAAAAATGCTAGTGATAGCAATTTGGCAAGAAAAAGAAAGGGCAGCCAGACTAGGAAAAAAAAGGTAAAAGTATCTCTTTACAGATGATATGATCTTATATGTAAGGAAACCCTAAAAGATTCCACACAAAAAAAAACCTGTTAGAATAAATGAATTCAGTAAAGTAGCAAAATATAAAATCACACAAAAATCAGTTACATTTCTATGCACAAACAGTAAACTATCTGAAAAGGAAATTACAAAAGCAATTCCACTTATAATAGTATCAAAAAGAATAAAATACTTGGGAATTAACCAAGAAAGTGAAAAACTTGCTCACTAAAAACTACAAAACATTGGTGAAAGAAATTAAAGAAGACTTAAAAAAGGGAAATACATCCTGTGTTCATGGATTGGAAGACTTAATATTGTTAAAATGTTTACATTGCCCAAAGTGATCTACAGATTCAGTGCAATCCCTATCAAAATGCCAATGACATTTTTACAAAAATAGAAGACAATCCATTCTTTTTTTTTTAAGATTTTATTTATTTATTTGAGAAAGCATGAATGGTGGGGAGGGGCAGAGGGAGAGGGAGAAGCAGACTCCCTGCTGAGCAGGGAGCCAGGCATGGGGCTTCATCCCAGGACTCTGGGATCATGACCTGCACTGAAGGCAGATGCTTAACCAATTCTACTTCTGATTATATAAGCAAAAGAATTGAAAGGAGAAAAAAAAAAAGAAATCAGAGTTTCAAAGAGATATACATCCATGTTCATAGCAGCAGTATTCACAGTAGCTAAAATGGAAGCAACCCAAGTGTCTATCAGTGCGTGAACAGCTAAGCAAAATGTGGGCTATCCATACAATTGAATATTACTCAGCCTTAAAAACGGGAAATTCTGTAATTGGCTACAACACAGACGAAACTTTAGGACCTGTTGCTAAGGGAAAAAAGCAATTACAAAAAAGGCAAATACTATATGATTCCATTTATATGGGATTCTTAGAGTGGTCAAAATCATAGAGAAGGAAAATAGAATGGTAGTTGCCTGGGGCTATAGGTAGGGCAGAATGGGAAATTATTGTAATGGTTCCAGAATTTCAGTTTTACAAGATGAAGAGTTATGGGGATGGAAGATGGTAATGGTTGCACAATGATATAAATATTTAATACCACTGAACTCTATAGTTAAAAATAAAGACACTAGGGGCACCTGCAAGGCTCAGTTGGTTAAGTGTCAGGCTCTTGGTTTCGGCTCAGGTCAAGATCTCATGGGGTTGTGGGGTTGAGCCCCGTGTGGGGCTCTGCACTTAGTGGGGAATCTGCTTGAAGATTCTCTCCCTCTGCTCCTCCCCCCTGCTCATGTGCTTGCTCACTCAAATAAATAAATAAATCTTAAAAAAATAAAGACAGGTGTGCCTGGGTGGCTCAGTCGGTTAAAGTGTCTGCCTTCAGCTCAGGTCATGATCCCGGGGTCCTGGGATTGAGCCCCATATCAGGTTCCCTGCTCAGCGGGGAGCCTGCTTGTGCTCTCTCTCTGTCAAATAAATAAATAAAATCTTAAAAAAAAAACAAAGACACTAAATATATTTTTTGTATGTTTTACTGCAATGGAAAAAAAAACGTTCCAGGAGAAAAAACACTTATATATTAAGATATTCTTAGAACATTGATTTGATTTCTTATACACATGGAGTTTTTAGTGATTAAAATTCTTTAGTATTTTGATTTACTTAATCAGATTATATCAAGAACAGTAGGAGCTGATCTTGGTTTTTACCTATAATTGATATTTGGCCAGACCAATTAAATATTATAGAGATACAATTAAATCACATAATGGATTTCTGTATCTTTCTTGATTGTGGAAATTGTGTTGTTTTTATTTAGTAATTTCTCTTGGTGGGACAGTCCAAATAGATGGATCACTTTTAACTTTGTGTTGACTTTCACTTTCCTCACCCATAACACTGCAGCAGTCTTACTTTGCAGAGAGAGTAACTAAAAAAAACTCGGTTAGCAACATAATTTATTTCTAATGTTCTCCTTATGTTTCCACAATATGAATCCAGAACCATTCAAACCCTAAAACATTCTCCTTTTAAGCCCTGTCCCAAAATATTACTAGGCAGAAGACAGCAGTGTTACAGTGTTAACATCAAAACTGGAATTTACTTTTCGAAATTTAAATAAAGCTTGATTTAAACCTAAGGACAGAATGTCTTGATAAACATCAAAAATGGAGAGTTTTTATATTTCATCTTTTAAAAAGAATATAAAAGGACTATACATTTGAAAAATTTGACATGCATCAAAAAAAAAATGTTGCCATTTGCAACAACGTGGATGGAACTAGAGGGTATTATGCTAAGCGAAATAAGTCAATCAGAGAAAGACAAGTATCATATGATCTCACTGATATGAAGAAGTTGAGAAACAAGACAGAGGATCATAGGGGAAGGGAGGAAAAAATGAAACAAGACAAAACCAGAGAGGGAGACAAACCATTAAGAGACTCTTAATCTCAGGAAACAAACTGAGGGTTGCTGGAGTGGTGGGAGGTGGGAGGGATGGGGTGGCTGGGTGGTAGACGTTGGGGAGGGTATGTGCTATGGTGAGCGCTGTGAATTGTGTAAGACTGTTGAATCACAGACCTGTACCTCTGAAACAAATAATACATTATATGTTTTAAAAAAAAAAAGTAAGAAGGAAAAAATGAAGGGGCGGAATCGGAGGGAGAGATGAACCATGAGAGACTATGGACTCTGAGAAACAAACTGAGGGTTTTAGAGGGGAAGGGGGTGGAGGGATGGGTTAGCCGGGTGATGGGTATTAAGGAGGGCATGTATTGCATGGAGCACTGGGTGTTATACGCAAACAATGAATCATGGAACACTACATCAAAAACTAATGATGTAATGTATGGTGACTAACATAACATAATAAAATTAAATTAAAAAAAAATATTTTGGCATGACATGGGAGTCTTTTTGGACACACAGAATACATATTTTTACATATTTTACAAGCCTGAGACTCTTTAATTGCAAAATTCTATGGCATATAACATGAGGGCATTTGTATGTACAAAGCTGAGACTATAATTGTGTTTTTATGTATAAATTTGAACATTAAAAATACGAAATATTTTTTCTTTTTTCCTCACTATTTCTGTAGAAAAGTTTATCTTGCAGAGATTTTTCTATAACAATCCTCATAGTATCCCCATAAGGACCTCCAATCTTAATCCTCTAATGAAATAAACATTTCATCTTTGAATGCAGTGTTTGTCACAAGTGACAAAGGGTTTTCTGTTAGAAATTCAAAATCTAAGATTTTTATTTTGTAAGAAAGTTCATTTCAGTTTGGTTCTTTTCATTTCTTTAGAGCCTCCAAAATTCTTGCCCATATCATCAACACCCCAGCCAGAGAGACGGCAGCCACCCCAGAGACGACATTCCATTGAAAAGGAAACACCCACTAATGTAAGACAGTTTCTTCCACCATCCAAGCAGAGCTCCCGATCTCTTGTAAGTAACTGGAAGACTTCATAGTAACTTAAGGATCAGTTAGACGCCTGTTATCATTAGCTTTCTTGAGACGGTGATTAGGAGAAAAAAAAAACTTCCAAACGTTAAAATGAACTTTAAACAGCTTTATTTCTTTTTAATATCTAAAGAAAACCCACTCTAACAGTAACCTAAATGAAATTTGATTTGACCATTCTTTGTTCATTTTAAAATACTTTTGTTTCAGAAGACTTATCAGTGGTTGAAAATATGTATTATTATTAAAGAAATGCTTTCTTCTTTTTAAAGGGAATTAGTCCGCTTAAAAAATTGTTGAAACTCATCAAAAAGTTAGCAGAATCTGACTACGGTACACTATTTTATTGAGGCAGAGGTATGAGGGGAGAATTTTGATCCATTAGAAACCATTGTGCATTGTTTTCAAGTATGTTTTATGATCTTGGATCCAAAGCTGCTGTTTGCACTGGATGACAGTTTTGCTGTTTTCCCAAGACTTCAGGTTAGTCTAGTGGCTTTGATGCCCAGGACAGTAGGTCCCTGCCAGGAAGAATAAGAGACCCTCTAACCAAAGGAGGTCTGCAAAGATTCTTTTGTAGTCCCACTAGACTTCACAGATATTTTCAGGTGAGACGAAGACTTCAATCAGTAATTCTACCAGCAACCTAATATCTAATGTTTTCTCAGGTATTCATGAATAAAAAGCACTGGAATATGCTTACTCCATATTTTCAGCCATATTTTTAGGCTATCTTGAATCATCAAGGGTTCAAATGAAGCAATAAGAGATGTCCCTCGCTCAAAGCAGAGGAAGATGGTGTAGTTATTGTGAAGATACCAAGTTTGAACAAAGCTTTATAGTGTTGAAATTTTTTTTTAAGATTTTATGTATTTATTTGAGAGAGAGAGAATGAGAGATAGAGAGCATGAGAGGGAAGAGGGTCAGAGGGAGAAGCAGACTCCCTGCTGAGCACGGAGCCCAATGTGGGACTCGATCCCAGGACTCCAGGATCATGACCTGAGCCAAAGGCAGTTGCCTAACCATCTGAGCCACCCAGGCCTCCCTATAGAGTTGAAATTTAATCAGTCATCTGTTCCCAAACAGTTCAATTTAAGAACTAGTGATTGTGTGTATGTCAATTCCTGATAGAATTCCTCTAACTCCTAGATAATCACTGAAACATTGATTAAATATAGCCTCACCAGTGGTTTACCAGTAGAAAAACAGAACTCTAACCAGACAGGTTCAAACTTCAGAATCCAAAGACTTTTGGTAATGTGAACAACTTTTTGCTTTAGCAAAATATAGTTACTGTCACAGCTTAAAAGTGTGTAAGAGATCACAAGTCCGATAATCAGGAGATTCTTCTCTTCACCCAACTTTTCTCTTCGAAGCCAATTTATCATTCAGCTGTGCACCGGGCCTTGTGATCACAGGACACCATTGTTAATGTTAAATTTAAAAATTATCAATGTAGAGGAACTGTCAGATCAATTAAAAGAAATTTCAGCTACTGAGAGAAGTTTTGAATAGAAGAGAAAAAATACCACAGAAGTAATAGAAGAAAGACCATCAGCCGACATCGAGGGCCCAGAAGTGCGTTCCTGACAAAGGGGATCTCTTCGTGTGTGCTAGGTCAGGCTGTGAGTTATTTTTTGTGGAGAAGAAGAGCGAGATAAAACCAATCTGCAGTCGCAGAGAAGAGTCTCAGTGAAAGGCAGTGGGAGAGCACTTCTGTTCAGCACTGGATGGCGTCCAGGTTCCACACGGAACCACAGCTCCCTCGAAGAGCCCAGCGCTCCAGCTGACACAAAGTAACATCCAGGTCAGAGTAGTGACCCTTCTTGCTAGTAGCTTTGCTTGGGAAACCCATAAAGTCACACTCATCTTGCAGTAGTGCCCTCTAGCTTGGTAAGTATCATTTTTAAAAGTACGACAGTTTAAAACTTTAACTGTATTTAAGGAAACAAGGAATCATTGTGTACTTAGAACCCCGCCACTGAAAATGGCAGAAAGGTCTTCATTGGTACTCATTTTTATTTTTATTATATCTCCCTCCCTTTCCTTAGGATGTTTAAAACATAATTTTTTTCATCATTTGGTCAAATGATTGAGGATGATTGCCCATCTAAGTGAAAGGGGACTTGTCTTTCAGCGCCTTCCCCAGGGGCTGAGGGGCAAGTGCTGCTTCGTGCGTGCCCCCCACACCCTGCTTTCACAGGGCGGGGGGGGCCGTTCCCAGGGCAGCCAAGTTAGGAGCATTTCAGGTCTCTGCTGCGTGAACTCCGAGAGTCTCTGGGAATGATTTCCTGGTGTGATTACTGATTTATACCTACGGGAGCAGACATGGTGTGGACACACACGTGTGGAATCTACCGTTAATGTCCTCGGTGGTGTTTTGGTTTTGGTTTTCTTTCATGCTCTGTAACCACTATTTGTAGGTCACTCATGTTCAGCATTTTTTTCTCCTTTTCTTTTCCCCCTGCCATTTTCTTTTTCCCTTATCTATTGTTCAGGTTCCTAGGATAACCAGTGTTTGGCCAAGGACGCCTTTCCGACCACTTTTTTCTACCATACAAACAGCTTCTCTGCTCAGCTCTCATCCTTTTGAAGCAGCCATGTTTGGGGTAGCAGGGGCTATGTATTATCTATGTGAGAGAGCTTTTACCAGCAGGTGGAAATCCTCAAAGGTTGGCCTCTTTCTGCTGGTTCTGGGAATTATTTCACTCTCTCTATCTCTTTGACAGTGATACCGCAACTACTGCACTCTGAACAATTAACAGCTTAGATGGGCACTTTGCTTCTGGTCGTTGATTCCCATCTTTTGTAGGATGCATAGAGGACACCATGAGCTCAGCTGAAAGGAAAATGACCTTGAAAGGACAACAAACTCAAAATGCAGCATCAGATTAGAGGGACCTGTGAGTGACCCAGTTGTACAGAAGGAGGAATGCCATCTCCTCTCCATGTGCAGGGGGCACTCCCCGAGAGCCTGTGGGGCACTCTCCTCCCCGGGCCTTCCCGCCATCGGAACAGCATTTGCGCCCTCCCCCAGCTGACAGAGCAGCCTGCTGCCAGGCCACATAGCCACGGGGACTCCCCCACCCATGGAACCATGTCATTCCCCGTTTCCCTGCACACCCCACCATGAGCTCCAAGGGGCTGTGCAACCCTGGGCTCAGAATCTCTCTGTTCCCCAGTATCTTTCATAAAGCTGTGTTGTATGCGTCGGTGTTACATGGTTTTTATGACAACCCACTTCTCTGTAGAAATCTTAAGTTTTCCTTTTATTGATGTGGTTATTTTAAATATTTTAAATTTTATGCCTTTCATTATTTTTTAGATTTCATACAGAATATATTTTTTAAAGAAAGGATACCTGCCAAATCCCAGTGAAATCAGAAGGCCTCGAACTATGCCAAAAGCTTCCCCGGCCCCCAGAGTAGCACGCGCTGCTGAGGAGACTAGCATTTGCCACTGCCTTTCCACCTCATACAGGCTCCTGGCTCTCCTACGTCCTTTATTTACTGAACCAGCAGCTGGCTTCTTTGTTATTCTTTATTACCCATCTTGGTTTGGAGAAGAGACTCTGAATGTGAATGAAATACATCAAATTCCTTTCTCTTTTTATGTCATGAAACAGAGGATAGATCTCTTTCTTTTTGCCATTTTAGATCTGGCCCTTTGGGCAGTACGTGGTCAAGTGCAGGGATGGCATTTTAACTCCTGTCACTGTTACTGCTATTACCAAAGATCTGCTGGCATTTTCATTTTTATTATCAATCCTCCCCAAACAGAGATCTCTGTATACTAAGGCTATATTACTGTAGGCAAAGAGTTCACTTTTGAGATTTAAAGTTGAACTTGAAAAAAGAGAAGAATAATTAAACTTAACAGGTGCTATTTTAATTTAAATTTGCCTTGGGTTTATTAAAAACTCAAGGGAAAAAATGGTGGTTTTGGATAATTTTCAAATATCTGCTACTTACAAAGTTTTTGCTCATTAAAAATACTATATAAAATATGCATATTCCCATTCTCTCTGTGGCTCAGAAACCAGAGTCTATATTATGCCCTATAATTTCTGTGCTCCCTTACTCTGACCCTTCTGAATGGTAAATGTGACCAGAATATTGAACAAAAACTCAGGGATTTTAGTGACATACATACAGAGTAAGTTCTAAAGGCTCATCTGCTCCTATAGCATATTGGAATCTTTATTAAAACTCTTTCAGATTTAGCTTCCCTTTCCTAAATTTAGGAGTGAGATTGAAGCACAGGGAAGCAAGGGGATTTTAGAGTCCATGTCTGGCTATGACCGAGTTCAGGACGTGGGGAGGAGTGACCAAGCCCAGTGTAAAGCTCTCACTCACTGTTAAAGCCCTGAGTGCTCCTCACATTTTGGAGCGTTAGTATCTCAGCAAGATCTGTTGAGGCTAAGGCTTAATTTGGCTTTGGGGATGTTGAATTAGTATTTTTTTCTCAATTGAAAAAAAATAATAAAAACTAATTCTAGTAACTATTTATTATTTTCTTTCATGTTGCATTAAAGTTTTGTTGTCCTTGGGAAAGCACCAGAATTAAAACATTAGCATTTGACCTGATGGAAATTATTTTATTCAACAGTAATCTGCTTGAAAGTTTAAAAAAGAACAAGAACACACATAAATACAGTTTCTTACTATGTCCTACAAAGTACTGGATTTGCATATGGTTCAAAGCAGTAAGTTGAAAGTATGCTTGACCAAGTCCATTGTGACTTAAGACTGAGAAGAGGGAAGTGTAGAGCCTGTCAGGTCTATTGTGTGTGCTAGGATATCCCTGCAAATAAAAAGGATTCGCATCTACCGGAAATGTTTACCAACCCTAGTTGTAAAGTTCATTAAACTGGCACCATTTGCCTTCTTCCCACCTGCACAGCACCAAATCTCAGGTAGTGAGTATCTGGTTAGTTGCTAGATTCATACATTAGATTGTTCCCGCTCAGCAGTTCTGTCACATAGTTAGCTGTCAGAAAATGCACCACAGTCACACTCATTACTAATGAATAAAAAAGGCCGTAGGAAAGCTGCTTATGAAATATGTTAAAAGCTGAGAAAAGCCATCATTCAGACATGTGCAGCCAACAAAGCTTACCTCATGAACAATTTTAGTGGCCTAACCTTCACATAGGCAGTGCATTGTTCCCACTTGACACTAGGCTATTTTCTCAGGGTGGAGCAAAACAGAGTAGATACTGGACAAGCCAATTCAATCCTGTTATCTTTGAAAGTTTTTCCCATTGAAAGAGAAAATTATGTGATGGTGATTTTTTTAAAAAGTATTTTAGACATTTTAGAGCAAATGATACAATCTTCCTGAACAGACTACCTTCCCACCCTCCAGATACTAAGCTCTTCCTCTTAAAAATTCAATTGCAGGATTTTTTCCAAAACATTTTTAAGCAAATTTAACCTTCTTTCACTCTGCCGAATAGCAATGATTCTGTACTGATTGTTAGTAAGAAGCAGTTCTTCAAACTACTTTTCTTAGTAAATGCTAATGTTTATCAAGTTTGCAACCTAGATTTGTTTTTGTTTTTCTGATTGAAAGACAGAACTGAATGTTAAAACTCCATAAACTGACTGCATTCATAGTCATGTGCGTTCCTTTGGCTTGTTTGATTCCAGAATGCCTGTGAGCAATGCTATTGTGTGTGTGTGGGAGTGAATTATAATGTGTTTGCACTGAGAACATTAAGTTTCAGTGTCCCTACACCACAATGGCCCCTGTGAAGCCTGGCAGGGTGAGAATGCACAAGACCATTCTGTCTTTCTCTTAGATCCACCAATCAAGTGCAGAGCCGGATGGGGAGCAGATGGGGGTGAGGCTCTTTTATTCAGTGGGATCAGTTACATCAACATCTTCCTCGGCTGTTTTTAGGGAAACCATTTAACATAAGACAGCCAACATAAATATTTATTGTGAAATTCTTAAGATTTTCTCCACGTCTTTCCAGTGCTGACTGTGTATTCTGCAGTTGTTGAAAAGTAATAACAGAAACCCAGAGAACTGGGGGGCAGCCTGTGGAGGTTGTCCCGGTAGTTCCGTGTTCCAGTTCCGCTTGTGCCATTAGCGTTTTCCACAATGTGCTGATGTAACTTACCACTAAATAAAGCTTCTCAGTATAAATTACTAACCACATTCTCTTGGCTATTCTGGGTACCACAGACCAGTTTTCTAAATTATACCAATGTTGATTTGTAGTTTATCTATTAGCATATAGTATAAAACACAACAGGAAGTAAGGTCTTGGCATAATCGTAAGAGCAAACTCACGTCAATTTGATTTAGAACAAAAAAATTTTCTTCAAGATTTCAGTGCATAGATACATAGCTCTGCTTAATGGAATAGAGACTTGAGGCAAAATATGCACCCAAATGTGAGGAACTTTCCTTTCCTGGAAATTTTAGTAGGCTATGATGTTTGACATGGTCCCCAGAAGTTTTCTGCCATCCGTTGTCTTAGTGTGATTAGAAATTATGTGGTCCCCAGAGTGAGCCAGCTCTGTTCCAGTGTTCATTGGGAAACCTCTTTTCTTCTCTGAAGCTACTAACCAGGTGTCTGATCTGAAGGGAAATTGTGCAGTGCCAGAAAAGGGGGGTGGGAGTTTCTTATTCATGTGGAATTTTGAATTTCAGGAGGAATTCTGCTATCCGGTGGAATGCCTAGCTCTCACTGTGGAGGAAGTGATGCATATTCGTCAGGTCCTGGTGAAGGCAGAACTGGAAAAATACCAACAGTATAAAGATGTCTACACCGCCCTGAAAAAAGGAAAGGTAGGGCTATTTCAAGTTGGTTGATAAGCAGGGTTAGAAGAATGGTCTGGTCTCCCGAGGGAGTGGTCTGCTGGCAGCCAGATGGTATAGGACTTGTAGGGGATTTTAGGAGGTAAGAGGCTTATTCTCTAATAATACACAATTCCTGTGCTGCCTTGTTTACCAAAAAGAAAAAGTATTTTTGTTTCTCCCTGAGAAATCAAAAACTGGAAGATTTAAAACAACCATAGTAAATAATGGCATACCTTCATAAAACCATGTCTGCATTTTAAAGGCTTGTAAAGAAACTATATCTGAGAAAGAAACTGTCTCAGAACCTTCTTCAGATTGATTCCATGATGGTGAGCCTCTGAGAGCTATGGAATATTACTACCTTTTAAAAGTGGAATTATAAGTAAATACAGAGTCAAATTATAATTATCACAGAGCCAAACTTGAAAACAGGGTTTCTGAATTCCCTTTTCCCTTCTGTCTGCTAACCTTCCCCATTATATAAATGTAAAGTGTATTTAGACATGTAAATTAGGAAATTAACTGCTGGCAATGCTTTTTTTCTCCCTTTAAATTTGTTTTTTTTTTTTTTTTTTTTTTTAGCTCTGCTTTTGTTGCCGAACCAGGAGATTTTCCTTCTTCACCTGGTCTTATACCTGTCAGTTCTGTAAGAGGTAAGGTTTTTTGTAATTGATGACCATAGTCAAAGAAATACCGATCGCATTTGTAGTTGAATCATTTTCCTACACAGGAACAATATTAGAGATTACCCAACCCATTATCAGATTGTGCCATGCTTGGGAGTTAATAATACTGATTTCCTCAAAAGAGTAGAGCAAACAGTTACTTGGAATAAAACCTGGAAAATGCTTCTCTGCATGTATTTCTTTTACATAACTAAGATCACTCTAATAATCATATGTCCAGTTGGAACAGAAAAAAAGTAGATGTGATTGTCATGTGATCCCTGGATAGACAAGTAAGAAAAGCCCCGACAGATATAAGTTGATCCCTTTACAGGAAACAGTTTAAGAGTTAAGGTTTACAGATTGTCTTCTTGGTGATCCACAGTCGTATCAATTTGTTACATTCTGGTAGAAAAACCAGAGAGTTTTTGCAGTTTATTATAGAAATTCATAACCATGCAGCCATTGGCTTCTCTGACTTTGCAGTCCATCTATGGTATCATGCTGAGTAACCTTTCTGATTTTGTATATAGGCCGGTGTGTTCACAGTGTTGCAAAAAGGTAAGCTAAGCTTTGTGAAATTATAATTTGTGTTAATTTTCAGTAGTCTACCTCTTTAACAGTACTGCTCATTCTTGGTTTTATTTGGGATAATAGATGCGGCTGCCCTCCAAACCATACTCCACTCTTCCCATCTTTTCATTGGGACCTTCTGCCTTGCAAAGAGGGGAAAGTTGCATGAGGCCAGAAAAGCCTGCCACTGGCCACCATCGGCCACTCCGGAGCATTGCCAGGTGAGCAAGGGGCCTGGGACCTCAGAGCATCCTCTGTAAAAGAAGAATGCTCCTTTTGAGGACTGCTGACGAGGTAGGGTTTGGGCTCAGCATGATTTGGGGTGGCTGGGTGGTTGGTTTTAAATATAGTTTTGACTTGCACATAAGTATCCAAAACTTCCTAAAGGTAACTTGACAAGGGAACATGGCTAGCTGCTTGAAGGATACTTGAATGTCATCATTTTTTTTCTACTTCAGAAATAATTACTTTTGTGTGTCCTTTAAAAGTCTTTTTTTAATTTAATTTAATTTTATTATGTTATGTTAGTCACCATACAGTACATCATTAGGGTTTTTTTTCTTTAAAATTTTTATTGTTATGTTAATCACCATACATTACATCATTAGTTTTTGAGTACATCATTAGTTTTTGATGTAGTGTTCCATGATTCATTGTTTGCGTATAACACCCAGTGCTCCATGCAGTATGTGCCCTCCTTAATACTCATCACCGGGCTAACCAATCCCCCCACCTCCCTCCCCTCTAGAACCCTCAGTTTGTTTCTTGAAGTCCATAGTGTCTCGTGGTTCATCTCCCCCTCCGATTCCACCCCCCCTCCATTTTTCCCTTCCTTCTCCTATAATTTGACTCTGTATTTACTTAAAATTCCACTTTTAAAAGGTAGTAATATTCCATAGCTCTCAGAGACTCACCATCATGGAATCAATCAATCAATAGCATAGTCCTCAATGCTATTCCTTATGTTCCACAAATAAGTGAAACCATATGATAACTGACTTTCTCTGCTTGACTTATTTCACTTAGCATAATCTCCTCCAGTCCCATCCATGTTGATGTAAAAGTTGGGTATTCATCCTTTCTGATGGCTGAGTAATATTCCATTGTATATATGGACCACATCTTCTTTATCCATTCATCTGTTGAAGGGCATCTCGGCTCTTTCCACAGTTTGGCTATTGCGGACATTGCTGCTATGAACATTGGGGTACATATGGCCCTTCTTTTCACTACATCTGTGTCATTTTTAAAGCTGACCTTGTTTTCAGTGGAGTTGAAAATTTGCATGTAACAGTCTAATCTTTCTTCTTTAGTTTTGGAAGCAAATCTGTTTAGTTCTAGGTTTCCAATGGTCTGCCATCACTTTGGCTTATCTTCCTATTGTAAATATGGCAGAAATAAAGCTTTATGCCAAAAGCTTTATGGCAATTAAAAAAAAAAAGTTGCCTGAATATCAGTCCCTCTGCTTTTAACGCAGAGTAAGGTTACCATTGGTCCTTAAGGAAGGACAGGAGGTGAGGCCAGCTTGGCTCACGCATTCACAGGGCCGAAAGGGTCAGGGTTTTACACACCAGCTGCCCCCGGTCGGGGAGGGAGCCCGGCACTGGTGCTGGGGGCTGGGCAGTGCTACTCCTGCACACCGTGGCTGTGGGCGGTGAGGCAAGGAAGCCGTGAGCCCCGCTGGTGACTTGTGCCCGGCACTGCAGCCCCCCAGCTACCGACTCCACTCTGAGACACGGCCCGCTGTGCCGTGATAGACTCCGACTGTGGATCGTCACCTGTGAGCTCAAGGCTGTGGGGCACGTTGTTGTTCCTTTCTGTACCTACTCTAAACTTACGTTCCTGTTTGGTTTCATTAAAGTAGTCCATGAGTAGATGATTCCTAGTTATTTCAAAAAATTACCCAAAACATTTATTACGATGTTGATCTCATTAACTCCAGCTCTCTGGAATCCAAATAATTAGTCACCTAAATAGAGAGAATTGTCGGGAGAGGGGAAGGTATATTTGATAAATGCAAAAATGCTAAGGAAGCTGGTCCAAAGATAACTTTTCAGGATTAAGACCAATTGACGTCAGTTTACTATAGTCTGCCCTCCTCTCTACAGTTAACTCATGTTCACCAACTCTGACGCAGGGTCACTGGAGAAAGAACTTGAAGTCCCTTCTGAATTATCGATAGGACGTTAGCAACATGTACTTTGATTTGTTTTTGTTGTTAAAGTCTACTCTAGATCATGTATGGTATTCAGGTGAATAAATATGCTTTTTTTCCCAAAAATTCTGGAAGGGACACTAAGAGTTTTCAGTATTATTATTTCATTTTTTCTTCCATATTACTATTTCTTACTAAAACATGTTTCCTGGTTTCTTTTTTTAAAAAATATTTTGAATTTTATTTCCAATTAGAAATTCTTCCTATGGAAGAACATGAAGTGACTCGCCCATTCCATAATGTTTTGGCAACAGATTTACTTTTTCTGCGTGTATTTTCTTAGTATTGCATTGGAACTGTAAGTAACAATATTCTAAACGTTTTGTTTTGTTCCAGGTTCTCCAAATCTAAGTCTGTGGACAAATCCGATGAAGAACTACAGTTTCCCAAAGAGCTGATGGAGGACTGGAGTACTATGGAGGTGTGTGTAGACTGCAAAAAGTTTATTTCGGAAATCATCAGTTCGAGCCGGCGCAGCCTGGTGTTGGCTAACAAAAGAGCCCGATTAAAAAGGAAAACACAGTCTTTCTACGTGTCCTCCCCAGGCGCCTCGGAATACTGCCCTTCAGAGAGGACTATCAATGAAATCTGAGCCCGTGCCTTTCAGTTGCTTTGTGTTCAGAGTCGGCACTAGCGCGGGAGAACACTGAGCTGGGCTGTCTCTCCTTGCCGTGGTCTTAGTTAATAGGCTTGAATTTGCATTAGATCAGGTTTTTGCCGCATCACGTTGTTCCACAGACTGAATGCTGTGTTCATCTCGATTAATGGTACGTGACAGGTCAGCCAGTTGCTCGTCTGCACCAAGAGAGAACAATAGTTTGAAACTTGCTTGTGTGTGTGTGTGGAGTTGGAGGCCAGAGACTTTTTCCTTAGTTCAGTTCCTTACTGTTCCTGAGATCATTTCCTGACTAAGGCAAAAAGCTTCTCGCATGAGAAATCGGCCTCACAACGGTGTCGATGTTCGCACAGTTCTAAGCAGTAAGTCATATTGGCACCTCCACCCGACAGTGTTCCTATCTAATGGACATAGTGGCTGGGCCCTGCCACATACCAGGTCCCCGGGGTCGCCGGGCCAGGCTGTGTATCCGCTCACGGCACAAAACCTGGAAGGATTTGCTCCTATCAAACTGATTTTAAATTGTTGTTGCTCTGAGCAGGGACTTCATGCCTGCATTCTAGTGCAGAACATCTGGGTGAGCTGTACACCCCAGTGGGGGACCATTTCCTCTGAGCTGCTGTGTTTCCCCTGGGGCCACGGATCAGTGTCTCCTGAGTGGGTGACAGGTTTTCATTCCCTATCTTGAATGTATTATGGTTACTTGTAGTTTTGTAACAGAGGTCTAAGAATTAAAGTTTTGTGGGAGTTTCAGGACAAAAGAAGGCTAAAAGTTTGTCAAGAAGTCGAGTGTATTTTGGTTAACTGTGAGAAGGGTTGTGACAGCATAGTGTGCCGGCCGTTGCCACACTTCGGGGAATGAGCTGGAGCTCATCTGTTTTCAACTACATTTTCCATAACTTTATAGTCTTAGCCATCACAACTAAATTAAGCCACAATTTGGTACCTAAGGTCTCAAACTGAAATTTATTTATTTTTATAAATGAATTTTAAGGGGAAAAAAACATTGTCTAGTTCTTTTAAAATTACAAGAAAATTAACCTGCTGATCGACTTTTTGGATGCTTTTTGCACAAGTTTTGCTTGCAAACGACTGGAGTGAGTAGGGTAGGTTTTTGATGGAGGCATGTTGGAGGGTAGCAGTGTACACTTGAAATTTCTCAGCTTGCTTATCCCAGGCTAGGAGCTGTCCTCTATTATTTTAGTTCTGCTTAGAAATGACCAACCAATCAAATTGCCATTGATGTTTGGAAAATCAGTTAATGCACATGCACAAGAATTTCCTAAAAGCTATAGGACACATCTGTAGTGAGCACTGCAAGAGCACCATTTAATAAAAGGCATGGCAGTCACATTTCATTCCACATCCAAGCATAGTTAACATTTCTATATTAGATTAACAGTAATACCTCACAACTGCTCTGGTAGTAGTTTTTAATGGATTGAAATTTACAACTTAGTAAATGGCTTAAAATTACTTATACTTATGAAATAAACTTTACCGATTGACTAAAATAATGCATGTTAACAGTTCGTCTGTATTTGCATGTAAACGTGGGCCACCAGAGAACCCTTCTTCATTTTGCACATGTTTAAATTATTTTAAAGACTCTCGTGTAAGAGATTTAAACATTATATGGGGTGAATCTCATTTATAAAATTTTCCAAGGGACTATTTGGACTCTATACCCCAGATGGTTTGGTGGAAGCCACACACCCTTTGAGGGCCCAAGGTTTAGGCCTTGAAATGACTCCCGGGAGAGGGAATGGTATTTGTGTAGGTATATAGACATGACCCACGATAGTAGGCTTTTTAAAATAATGACTAGTGTACTGCTGTTACTAAAACATAAGAACCTAAGCCCCTAAAATGAGAGTTTCATTCATATTCACAAGACAGATATCTAGCCCATCTCAATCTTTGGCTTCACTCCTTCAGGTTTATGATGCTGTCTAGGCTGATTAGGGTATTATGGACACTCCTACCAGAGCATTAGAATGTGAATCCTTCAGCAGCATTAACGAGGTTTGTCAAGTGGGTGGGAGGTCTACATGGGACAGTTCGCAGTGTGAGAAGAAGACACGTGACACAGTTAAAAGTGTAGAAATCGAATTAGCATCACTTTTTATTGCCAAAACAATTTCTTACAGTTTCTCCCATATCCATGACATGTACCCAACACCTCGACTAAATTAGGTAATTCCCAGAGAGTAATTCACTAACAGCTTATGGAGCGTGGTTTTACCCTTGTTAACCTTAGTCTGAACTTAGGCCTGTCTTCTTCTTAACTACTAAAATGACATGCCTTCACGGTATTCCTTTTTTTCCTGGTTTCCGGCTATTCAGCATTTACACGTGATCCAACAACAAACTGGCTAGCTGGTCAGAAGGAGATGTGTCTGAGAGCTTGCGTGCACACCTGAGCAGAATCCTTGGCGCATCCTCCAGCACCTGCGCCTTTTGTCCCAGACTTCATGAGCTTGCCCTGCTGGGAGAGCATTCCTTCCCTATGGCTTACCTTTCTACCAGTGTCAGAGTAGATAAGAATGCTTGTAAATACTGTAATATATTTATTAATATTTGAAAGGCATTCATTCAGTGGACAATGGGAATTAACTCTCCCAGGACAAGTAAAAATGAAATAATTGATATGTACATTGACTTAACACTCTTACTAGATTTCAAGTCTTAAGCCTTTCAAATTAAACCAAAAGGTTGTTATGTAGGAGTTTTAAAAATGATCTTACATTTGAAGAGATGATGTGATTAGCACCGTGAACTCATACCATGAATTTTTTAAGGCTTTTATTTTTCTAACTGTATTAATAAATATAGCAGTTGGATTTTTGGGGTCACATAGGAGACGTGAAAGTTTTAAATTATGTTGCTATTTGCTAAAGCAAAATGGCAGAAAATTTTGTTCATGCCAAACTGTTTGAAGAACCATGGAGAAATGTGTACGCTGACTGGACTTTGACCTGGCTTCCTGTGTTTATGAAAGTCAAGGTGTCCGCTGGCATTCAGGGTGACTTGACGGTACTAAACGTTTTCCATTCAAGTCTTAAAATTTAGGGAAAAATAAAATGGCTTTCCATCATAACTTCTGTGTGGAGTTCCTATTGTAAAATGGTGATGTCTTTTGGTAACTAGCCGTCAGAAGCCACCTAGGTTAGGAAGGCAAGAGACTTGCATCATCAGAAGTTACGATTGGGTTGAGATCGACAATCTCACAAGGACCACACTAGAAAAATTTGAAAAAGGGCACCTGGGTGGCTCACTCAGTTAAGTGTCCGACTCTTGGGTTCAGCTCAGGTCATGAATCTCAGGTCATAGGATCAAGCCCCACATCAGCGGGGAGTCTGCTGGAGATTCCCTCCCTCTCTCTCCTTCTGCCCCTCCCCCAGCTTGTGCTCTCTCTCTTTAAATAATAAATCTTTTTTAAAAAGGTAAAGAAAAACTTTCATTTATAACAAAAAAAAATTTTTAATGGGGCCACTGATGTAACTCTGCTGTGTTACCAAGAAGCCATAACTTCCTCTCTTACCCTCAACAGTGTAGGAGATTAAAATTCTGTAAATAGTGTATAATGTTTCATCATATAAGAAGTCACATGAGTGGAGACAAATTATGTTAGAAAAATAAAGCTTTTATGTATTTTTTCTAAACAGAATTCCTCAAGGGATATATTCCTAAAATGTCCCATAAAAAAATTTCCTATTGTAGCACATAAACTGCTTGAGGAGAAAATTAGATTAAACCCATAGTGAGCTTAGGGAAGTTCTTATGTTCCTGTTAACTAAATATGGCATCATTTAAGATATTTATGTATCATAAATATTACCTGATACTGAGTTTGATACTCATTTACACAAGCTATCCCCTAATTTGTTGGGCATATTTGAGGATCTCCTTGCAATGAAGCTTCCCTGAGAGGTATCTATAACAAGACATTTGTGTGTGTGTCCAGCTCATGATCCAGTGTTCACTGACTTGCTCAGTCCCAGTCAGAGTCCTTGCCTTGTGCCTCCTGGATGCCCGAGGTACAGAAAACTTGGATACCACAAAGAGGAAAGCTTTGGGTAACCTTTCTAACTGTATGTCTTTTTCCTTCCCAGCTGCAGTGCAGGAAGGTGAAAGTCTAGCATTTCATAAAGAGAACTGTGCTTGCTTATTTGCACATATGATGTGTTTAGAGACTCTAGTTCTTGTCTATGTGCAGAATGTGCAGACACACACACACACAGATTCATTATAATGTTCATATGGGATATGCTCCTACTCCCATGTCAGCCAAAGGCCCATGTCAAAAAACCTCCTTTTATCCACCCAAAAAGTTGAGGAGCTAAGAACCTACTTAATATAAAACTCTGCCTACAAAATTAAATGTTCAGGTGCAATTACCTGGCAGACTGAATTTGTACTGTTATTCTGGTGCATTCCATTAAAATGTATGTGATGGATAGTTTATGTATTTAGACTAGATCTTACTATGCAAAAAATTCTGCAGCTCTCTTTCTGCTGGCAGCAAAATCCGAGCCACTGCGGCATTACTGAAGCAGTGGAAATAAAAGAGCTTCAGAACGGACAAGACAAGGCTCTTGAAAAGGACATCAAAAGTTCCTTTACATCCTGCAGCTTAAGAACTGAAGAATCCTCTGGATGTTTAAACTTAACGCCATGTTCAGCACAACTCAGTGCTCAGGTTTCTTTTGCTGCCCAGAGGGCCTGACCCCATGGGTCCTGCCCTAGGGATGCTCTCACAAGCTGCCCTAATGAATCTCCTCATCTATGGATTGAAAAAAAGGGGGAACTCCCTTGTCTTGGGTGTGGCTGGCAAGGAGGGACAACCTTGACAAGCTTGCTCACTTAAAGTTTGCCCTTCTATATATTCTTTGCTTTGGTTATTCCCTTGTGACTGCAGAATTGTCAGTCCCATTCCCTAGGGTGACACAGCAGAGGATGTCACATCCCAACTCCAGGCAGGAGCAGCAGTGTTGGGAAGAGTGGAAATGCCAGAGATGAATGAGGATTCCTGTAGAGCTACCCTGAATGTCAAGTTCCTAAGCAAGCATGGTGTGAGAGCTGCAGGGAAGCATGTGGGAGAAAGCATGTGCACAAAGGCTGTGCACAGGTAAATCCGAACAATGTAGCTGTCTGAGAGCTTATAGAGCCCAAGGTGTAAACGAGACAGAATCACTTCTACTTTTAAAGGGAAGAAATTTTGATCTTCGACATCCCAAAGAGAAAAGAAGCCTAAGAAGATTCCAGCTTGCCCACCAAGGCAGGGGACGTGACTTGAGATAACAAGCCCGGAGTCATCCTAGCACAATCCCAAAGTCATTTCAGAAGTCAGATTCACAGAATATAAACTTGGACTGGGACTTCAGCCCCCAAGTGACTCCTATGACAGCCTGAAATAGTCCCCCAGGTGGAGCCAATGGTAGACACACCTCACAGCAAGAACTGGACCTTTCTCTGGCCCAACCCTAGCAAAAAGGATTTTTCAGGAACCATGAGCCTTCGTTCTGATGTCTGAAACAAACTAGTCTGTAGTCAGCGAAGCTGATTGTTTCAGCAGTACCGGGTTTCAAGTATCTGAAATGGTTCTTACTTAACTATGCTCCAGACAGCAGAACAGCTATCAGACGCTGAAAAAGTTCCTTAACATTTCTGGATTTCAGTTTCTTCCATTTTAAAGCAAGAGTGTTGGATGAGGTGATCTCTAAGGTCACTTTTTAACCAGGAAGAAGCATCAACACACTGGATCGAACAGCCAGTACTACATAGGTAACAACCAGTGAATAGTTGAGAGCCTGAGCCAATCATAACAAGAAATTGAGAAAAATCTTTGTGCATCCAAGCCAGCCCTTTCATTAAAGTGAAGTGTGAAATGAGTAGTACTTTCCAGACAATATTTGTGTTGATGACAAACCTGATTATGTGTATTACACAAACACAAGAAAAAGTGTAAAACGTGCTGCATCTATTTGAAACTTGGGGAGGCAAAGACAAAAATTCAGCTTTACTAATTGCTATAAAGAATCCGAGTCCTTGTGTGTCAGTTATACCTCATTGTAAAAAAAAAAAAAAAATCCTGAGTAGATCTCCCAAAATTAACAAGAAAAATTTCAGAAAGATGAGTTGATATATATTAAAAACAGGCACAAAAACCCCAGCATTTTACATCAACAACATGTGGTTACTGATGGTTCATCTCCCAACACTATGCAATGGGAAGACCTTGTCAGACCTGGTAAGTCTTTGATCCCATAGTGTGATGTGTGTTCCTGTCAGATGTAAAGAGAAGCAGGTAGCTGTAGGGGCAACTACGTATAATAAACTATCTTCATTGCATTTAAAGGAAGCAAACGATCAGGAACTCTTGTTATCCAGCTTGGTCAAAG